AAAAATTGGTAAAAATTTAAAGCTTAGAGTGACCATCTGTACTGTTAATTTCAAAGTATTTTTATAATAGTATTTAATGTTAAAATACTTAAATAAAACTAAAAATTACTTAAGGGGGGAAACCACATTAGACGTCTGAAAAAATCGTTTTTTTCTTTTTTGCATAAATTGTTCGTTAATGTATCCAAAAATAGGCTGACAAAGTTTTTAAAGCAAAATTCGAAGTCCTCGCTGTACTAGCGATGAACGGAGCGCGCTCTATGTTCTTGTAGATTAGTAGAATAAGCGTAGCACTTTTGAGACTAAGGAGAGCAGAAAGTCACGAAAAGAGGAATTATTAGACTTAGATGCTACTTATGAAGCACATGAAAGGATATATGAGGCATTTTACGTGAAATGTCCTAAGTTAAAATTTCAACTTCTTGAAAAAAATTGAAACTCAAAGAATTTGTTGTTCTATCAAGTAGAAATGTGGCCCAAAAAATATTTTTGATTTTTTCGAAAAATTGGAGGGGGTAGAGGGGGGTCAATTTGACCAATTTTGCCAACACCGGCTACTTTGTGAATTTTTTCTGAACATACTTGTAATGGGAAAAATTTTTTAGAATATGTTTCTGACAGGTTTTTTCGTCCTCTTTCCAATGGTGTATTTTATTTTTTAATATTTTAGAAATTTACCCTAATTTTTGATAATTAATAATTAATTTTCAATTTCCCAAAAATCAGTCCGTTTTTTTGAAAATAAATTATTGCAAACGAAAGCTGAGGTTTTTTCCTATCGGCATGTAAATTTTCAGAATGCCCTTTTTTTGTTTTTAAGTTATTAAATTTCAAAGAATAAATTGCGGCGCGCTGCGTCGCGGTCACCATTGGAAAGAGGACGAAAAAACCTTTCAGAAACATATTCTAAAAAATTTTTCCCATTACAAGTATGTTCAAAAAAAATTCACAAAGTAGCCGGTGTTGGCAAAATTGGTCAAATGGACCCCCTCTCTACCCCCTCCAATTTTTCGAAAAAATCAAAAATATTTTTTGGGTCACATATAAACGTTTATAAAAAATATGAGTTACAGTTAAATATAAATGAACAACATAGTGGAAATGTTTTATTTCATTCAAAAAAATTCTTACTTTAAAAAAAATTCGCAAAAAACGGCAAAAAAACAGCGTTCTAATGTGGTTTCCCCCCTTAACTGACTAATATTCAATTTTTTTTATTTTATAAAAATTTTGTATTTTCTTATAAATTTAAATTTAAAAATAAATTAATATAAATAATACAATTTTTTAATTTTGAAACTTTATTATAAAAATGTTTTTTGTGTAAAAAAATTAGGTAGAATAGTGTTGTATTATTATGATTACTATGAGTAAAAATGAAAAATTAAAAAAAAATTTTATATTGTAAATGTTTTGAAAAAGACAATTTTTGTTTTAGCTTGATACTTTTTAACCAGAAATGGCCAAGCATTTATGTTAGGATAATACATAAAATTCTGTCATGTTTGGCTTTTTTATTTACATATTTACTTGTAGATTTTAATGTTAAATACTATTAGCATTAATTAATACAATTAACATTAATTGTATTAAAATAAACTGGATGCTTATTTCAGCTTTATCCAAAGAACATTAAAACATGTAAAGTATTTCCAAAATTATATTTATTTTATTAAACAAGACAAAGTCAAGAAATTTTTTAATGATTTTGGAAAGTTAATTAAATTTTACTTTTAAGTTTAATTTTTGAATACTTATATTGAGTTTTAGTGTCTTAGACGGGAAAAATGTTAATTAATACATTTTGCAAAATAAAAAAATTATTTATAGCACTAAAATGTAGCATTTACATAATTTTTGCAGATAGTGTACAATTAATTAAAATTGATTTAATAAATGGTAATATATCATTAATTAGAGAATAATTTAATCCCAACAAAAACATCTTTGATGTTTTAATAATGGGTTTTGACCCAATAAGGAAAAAAACATTTTTTCCCAATAAGGGAAACTTTTTCAAAAAAAAATTTTATTAATAACTAGCAGAGCTACGCGCGCTAAAGCGCGCGCGATATTTCTGCTTTTATTTTATGATACTCAAGACCTTATTTCATTGTGTGTATAATATGTTATAGTTAAAGTCCGAAATTCAGGTAATGTGCACATTAACTTTCAGAAAATAAAAAGAAAAAAAAATTTTAGTGTCCATGCATTTTATGTTTTAAAATGATTTTTAAGCACCTGAAAATGGGTGGTCTCTGAATTTAGACCAGTAGTGTAATAATTTATATGAACATATCATCGGAAAGAGGACCTGAAAAGCTTCAAATTTGATCCATAGATAGTTTAAATTGTCAAAAAGTAAAATTTTTAAAAATGATGTAAAATCAACGTTTTGAAATTTAGGCTTACAGGTTGACCCACCTTGAAAAATTGATAATAATATGGAACAACTCCAATAAATTTATTAAATTTCACTTACATTTAATTTTCTGAATATAATAATTTAAATTTAAATTTTTTAAACAATTTATTAATAAATAAAATATTTTTTAAATAAAAAATATTTTTTAAAAATAATTTTTTTTTCAATTGGAAGTCAAATTAATAGCAAGATATGTGAAAAAAATGAAATTTTAAAAATCGTGTAAATTATACTCCAAATTATCATTGCGGATTTGCATTTCGGACCTGCAAACCGTAAAGTGAGTCAACCTGCAATTTTGAACTTTATTTTTAAATGGATGAAAAAAATATTAATTAATGATATTTCAACAATTCCTTTTGGAATATCAAAATTTATTAAAAAAGATTCTCAGAAAAAAATTGTAACTTAAATTATCTATAAAAATATTTCATTTGTAAGCCATGAAAAATCACATTTTTAATTTTTCCACAAGTCAATTTTAGAATTTGTTTAACAATAATATTTTTATACCTTCTATATACGATAAATAAAATATTCCTTTAAGATATAAAAAAAGGAATAAAAATTTGAAATGTGTATAAAGTAAAAAAATTAATTTATTTGAAACAAAATTATATTTCGATAAATTTAAATATATATTTTAACGAAGTACAATTAATGAAGATAATTGAACTAACATAATTTTAATGAAATATAATTTGTGAATACAAAACAGAACTAACGAAGAATTTAATTTGAATAAACGTAACGAAAATGAATAATTTTCATTCGAACCAGTCTTATTAACATAAATCAAATATTATTTAGAATTTAAGGTGGTTAGTTCAAAATCAATGATAATAGAAAATTACTTGAAAACTTCAGCAAAATTAATTAACATATTAATGGACATTATTTTTGAATCTGAGATTTTTTTATCGTACGGTTCTCGAAATATTGTCGTCCAAAGTTGAGTATTTTTCTCAATGTTTGCATTGAGCTAATGGACGCCGCGAACGAAAAACTGACTATTTGATATATATATAACTTTATAACTTTTGATGCACAATAAGGATTCATCTCAAAATTAAAACAAAACTAATTTAATATTCAAAGATCAGAATATTTAAAACACTGTACAATTTATCGTTTAGTTACAGAGTATTTTTATTCCAAAAATTATAGTTAAATAAAATTTTTTTGTCATTTCGTTTGACATAGAGAATGTGGCAACGTCGCAACTGCCGCGGAGGAAATAGAGTAGCCCGAAAATTCAAACCAGTTCAAGTATTTAGAAAATTTGCTTTATTCATCTTTGTCCAAAAAAATTAATGAATAAATTTTCGTAATATTTATTTACTTATTTACTTTTTTGAAACAATTCATCAACTTTTCTTTTAATTGGAAGTAAACTACGTATAAATTAAATACTAAATTGATATTACCCAGAAAAATTAAATTTTAATTTCAAATTAAATTATTATTATTATTATTACTGTTATTATTAAATAAATATTATTTTTAATTATTTAAGGGCATCCGGGAAAAATCGCCCTCCAAAAGTGTTTTCCCGCGTGTCGTCTCACTCCTAAATATAATTAGAGATATTTAGTTCCGATTTATCATGATAATTAGGGGAATTCGTGATGAAAAAGAATATTTTCGAAAATTGCAAGTAATTTTTGAAATAAATATTGAAAACGAAATTACAAAAGTTGTATTTTTGGTAATTTTGGCGAAAGTGAGAAACAATATGACGGCGAGCACACAGACAAGTGGATCTATGTGTCAGTGGTCAAGGAGGTGGCGCCAATTCTCGGAAGTGGTCGCGAGTTGAACTAAGGAAATGTATTAATCTCAAATTACTCCACTTTCAATCGTTAATAAAATAATTTCCTCGCAAAATTATTACAAAAACGGAGATGGCCGCTTCTCGGAGAGTCTTCCTCTATATTTACCAAAAAATCCCGACTCAAAATATTATTTTCTTTTTAAATGAGACGTCTATCACGAAACCATTATTTTTTCCCAGATGCCCTTATAACTAATTTTGAAATTTTGTATTTAAATATGAAATAAGTATTAATAATATATATAAATGCAGAAAGAAATATTTATTTAAACAGTATAAATTTTAAAAACTGAGTGCACTATAGTTTACAATAAAAAATATATTATTTTTGGGATAGTCACTTTTTTATTTAACGTTTCGATAAAAAAGTACAAAACTTTATATTACAACATAAATTTTAAAAATTGTTTTTAACATATTGTTAACATATAATTTTAAATGTAAATTAATGTTTATTATTTTATACTTTATTTTAAAGTTCTACATAAAACTATTGATAAGAGATATTAATAATACTTTTTGACTTTTTGTTTGTAAAGTATAAACACTGCACAGCAAGTTTTTAAACATAAAATATCTCTTAATAATAATATTTAATTGCTTTGGTACTATGCCTCTTAAGATAGTAAATTAACTCTCGAAATAACAAAATAGAAGAAACTTTAATTTTGAAACAGATATTTTCATTTCAATCAAATAAAATTTTTTAAATATAAAACATCGCTTAAAAATATCTTTTTTTTAATCTTTTTGGCTATATGCACTCTTGATACAATCTATTAACTTTATCAATGTAGTTTTCTTGTTCCCTACAAGTGGTTTCTTATTATTCTGTCGATCAGTAAGTAACAAAGTAATTCCTTCTTCTCCGCTGTCTTTGTATTTTTTTAATAAATTTTCGAATGTTAGTCCTGAGGAAGCGAGTTTTTTTATAAGATAATCTGTAACTTTTCCTTTTAGTGGATGGAATGATTTCGTTCTCAAGGCTACTTGCTTATCTAAAATCGACTTATTTATTGAAGAAACATAATCTGTCGAATGTAGGAATAAGTCGTTTTCCTTTGCAAGAGACACGACTAATTGTTCTAAGACAATTACATCATACAATGCCTCATGAAAATTCTCAGGCGAAACTTCACTCGTCAAAAAATCTTGCGCTAATTTGGACAAGGTAAACATTCCTTTCCCTTTGCGATCAGGAATTTTTTTCCGAAATAAACTTAAGGTATCACAAAAACCATAAATAATTTTTTGAAATTCCTGAGCCAATGAATATTTATGGATTTCTCGAATTAAAAAGGAAACATCAAAACAAGCATTGTGAGCTGCCAGTACACACCCTTTTGAATTTCTTGACAGAAATTCGTAAAAAGAAAGCAGCGCATCGATCATAGTAATTGTAACGCATTTGTTTCCTTTTAAATATAAAACATTATCAATATTTTGAAACCCATTAATCTTTGATGCCTCTTCATCAACTGGTTGAGTAGGTTGAATAAATATAGAGAATGTTTTTTCACCTACTTTTGCAGCAATTTGTAGAATATCGGACGTCTTCTTCCGTCCAGATGTTTCCAAATCGAAGAATATAATTGAACAATTTTCAATTGCTAAAGCAGAATTTTCGCTAAGCGGACTGAGACAAATGAGTTGAGAATTATTTTCGAATGCAATGTTTCCCTCATAAGTAATGCCTTCTTGACTTTCCAATTTTTTTCTTAGATTTTCTCTATTTTCAGTGAGTTGCAATCTTCGTTTTTTAAATTCGTAAGTTTTAGATTTCAGACATTTTTTTGCTCTAGTAACATCTACTTCTTTGCAGTATTTCTCGAGGTGTTCGGCTTCAGGAAGTCCAAGTCTGGTTCTAACATCAGTTAAATAAGAGTTCCCTTCATTCTTCACTGCAATAGCTGATGCAACGCGAAAATCGGCGGAATTTGTCGTACTGTAACTTTTATTCTTTGGAAGCTGATGGGATATAATGCTATTCAAAGATTCGTTTGCTTGACTAGATGCAGGAACACTAGAGTGGTCGTTAATTTGCGAAATTTTGAATTTCATTCATTCCACCCCCTAATTCGCTTCCAAATGTGATAAAAATGAGCTACGCGAAAGAAGAGCTCATTTAATTATTATTAACCCGTGCCTGTAGAGGGTTAAAGTTTAAATGGGGTTTAACATAGGTTTAGTGCATTTATTCAGACTTTATATTCTAACTTTTGTTTTTATTGATTTTTTTGTTTACAACTCTGCATATTTACAGTTTAGGATGTGCTAAAACCGAATATGTAGCCAAAAATAAGTTTTGACAGGTGACAGCTGTCAAAAATGCTGTCAAACTTTTGACAAGGAGTATTTAAGTATTTTATTTAATTATTTTACATTCATTTAAATAAGTTTAAGTATTTTCTAGACAATTGAGATCAAACTAAGTGGCAACATGTCTTTTTGACAGTTGACAGCTGTCAAAAAATGTCAAACTTACAAAATTTTAGTTTTTTTTAGAAATTTTACCTTTCTTTTTTCAAATAAAATTATTCTTTAGACTACTGAGATCAAACCGAATAACGGAATATCATTTCAACAGATGACAGCTGTCAAATATGCTGCCAAACTTTTGAAAATGAGATTTTTTGAAGTATTATGCAATATTTTACTCAATTTTAATTTTTTTTAAACACTAAGATTTATTTAAATGGCAACATGTTATTTTGACAGATGACAGCTGTCAAAAATGCTAACAAAGTTTTAAAAACGAGATTTTTAAAAGATCCTTAGGTCAAATAGACAGTAATTATATTTTGCTATTTATTTACTTGGGAATATGTTGACAGTGGAAAATAAATGAAACGTAAGTTTAATATGATTTATAGTTTATTAGAAAACTTTACTAAAATAATAGAATTACATGGTATTGGGCTGCGCTATTTATGGTTAGTATTAATAGACCTAGCTATCAACAGTTGAGCCTTTTTTTTCTTTTAAAAATCTCGTTTTTAAAACTTTGTTAGCATTTTTGACAGCTGTCATCTGTCAAAATAACATGTTGCCATTTAAATAAATCTTAGTGTTTAAAAAAAATTAAAATTGAGTAAAATATTGCATAATACTTAAAAAAAATCTCATTTTCAAAAGTTTGGCAGCATATTTGACAGCTGTCATCTGTTGAAATAATATTCCGCTATTCGGTTTGATCTCAGTAGTCTAAAGAATAATTTTATTTGAAAAAAGAAAGGTAAAATTTCTAAAAAAAACTAAAATTTTGTAAGTTTGACATTTTTTGACAGCTGTCAACTGTCAAAAAGACATGTTGCCACTTAGTTTGATCTCAATTGTCTAGAAAATACTTAAACTTATTTAAATGAATGTAAAATAATTAAATAAAATACTCAAATACTCCTTGTCAAAAGTTTGACAGCATTTTTGACAGCTGTCACCTGTCAAAACTTATTTTTGACTACATATTCGGTTTTAGCACATCCTAAACTGTAAGTATGCAGAGTTGTAAACAAAAAAATCAATAAAAACAAAAGTTAGAATATAAAGTCTGAATAAATGCACTAAACCTATGTTAAACCCCATTTAAACTTTAACCCTCTACAGGCACGGGTTAATAATAATTAAATGAGCTCTTCTTTCGCGTAGCTCATTTTTATCACATTTGGAAGCGAATTAGGGGGTGGAATGAAAGAAATTCAAAATTTCGCAAATTAACGACCAGTCTAAGGAACACAGTATTTTGAAGCATTATCAGCATAAACATTAAATATGGTTTGCAGTTCAGCATGTAAACTTTCGTCTGTGATAATGAATTTTTGTGTCGTCAGTCCGGGATTTGTTTTATTTTTACTTCTGCACCATGTGTCGCAGTTTCCATGAAGATTGAACAAATGATTCGGTATACATCGAACAGCAGATGCCAATTTTACTGCATTTTGCTTACACTGAGATAAAGCGTAAGCAAAGCATTTTTTGATGTGAGAAATTAATCCTTTCTTATTCAATTGTTTAAATTTCTGTTTGATTTTATAAATTTTCTTCGATAAGTTTTTCTTCACATCATTCATGTCAGCCAGTTTATAAATATTTTTAGTCACATTGTTTTTTAAATTTGCATTCCTTACAGCTGCCATCGTTGTACTGTCTTCATCTCCGATTACAACCTTGACATTTAAATTTTGTTGTTTTAGAATATTGCTTCGATTTATTAGTTCTTCTCCAACGTCCGCTTCCATGGCTTTCGCACTGCCATGGTAATTTTTTCTGCAGTCGTGATCGTTTACGGAATGGCCCAGATCACACATACGACATTTTCTATTTCGAGTTCGATAATCCAAGATTTTGCCCGTAAAAATCCAATAATCGCACCATATCCGTTCAGACTGTCGTAGCTTCTTCCATTTCCTCTCTTGCTCCAACCCATGTCGAAAGAGACAATAATATTAATTATATTTCCCAAACACTTGTTAAATCTTCTTGTATCGTTATTATTGTTATAGACATTTTCTACAACCTCTTGAAGGACAAACATTTCATCGACAAATTCGTTTCGGATATCTTCTGGCCTATAATTATTTAAAAATAAATTGAAATATTACTATCGAATATTAATTGTCAGGGAAATAAAATTAAGATATTTAATATTGAAATATTTCTTTATTTCTTAATAAAAATTTTATAGATCATACAATACATAGACCAATGAATCATAATGTATGTACAACTGTAGAATGGTTGTGCAGAATGTGTATAACATATTTGTCGAGCAGAATTTTAAATTATAAAATGATTATAAAATTAATTTAAAAAATTTTTAAATACAAAATAAAATTATAAAACCTTTCACTCTAAAATAGAAATAAAAAATATAATTTTTTCAAAAAGAAAATTGTCAGAAAACTTTACGAATTATTATAAATAAATCATTTTTTAAATTAATTAAGTAAATACTGAAATTTATCGAGTCGTACTGCAATTACTTTTTTAAAATGAGCCTTTAGAAAACCTTTAAAATAAACCAAAAGTGAAATCTTACAATGCGTCACGTAGTTCTTCCATTTTTTCTACAACTAATTTTCTTTCTTCGCTGGCAGATTTCTTATAAGAATCTCGCGCTACTCCCTCGATTGCTGGACCGACTTCTTGCTCGTATTGCTTATACATTTTTGTTGATATTCTCGGAACATTCAAACAAGCCAAAATTTTGTTCAATTGCGTGTGTCCTATACCAGCATGAAAAGCACCTGAAATGATTTGTATTTTTATATATTTAAATATGTATGGCATGTATAGAAAATAATCAGTCAAACTATTCCATTTATTGAAGCATAAATTAGATATTTACATTTTAAATTAGTTAAATTACATGAATGGTAGATATTATATTATTTATCATTTGTGTATTTTTAATATTAATAAATTGTTATTTATTATTAATTTTAATAATTGTACTTACCTAATACAGCATTCGTATTTACATCATTATGAATTTTAGCTTTCACAAAGCATTTTGATTGATCCGTAACATTGTGTTGATCGCCAGTTGCAACTTCTGATAGTACGGAACAAAAGTCACACATAACGCGTAAAGTAGAGTGCAATCCAGATCTCTTTTCTTCTACAACATTTTCTAATAACAAAATTTTTTCGCAACTACGACATTTCAAATTTTTTCCCAGTAATTTCAAATCAACCAGACGAGTTCCTTCGCAAGGGTGTTTCTTTTCTTTCGAGGTTATGTTTCGCCATTCGTTTTGTTTTTCTTTCAGAAATTTGATTCTTTTCAATTTTTGCTGTAGAACTTTCTCTTTTATAAATTTTCCTTTAAATCGCAATTGATTTTCCATTTTGTCTTACTAATATTTACACGTAGTTGACGTAGTTGCATTAAAATATCGATTATAATCACAAATCATTACGAAAATAAAATCAAGTTTACAAATTAGCATCAGCTGTACGTATATGCAGTGACTGCAGTGTTGCCACGTCTCTAACTACAACACACTACGTTCTTCAAAACATTACTATTTTTTATTTAATTTTCTATTATTTACAAATTTGTACATCGTAACTTAAAGAATAATATTTAAAAATGTGATTTTTTATTTTATATCATGATATTTATTTCTTCTTTGGACTTTAAGAAAAAAAAATTTTACTTTTGACTACCCTCCTGGAACTAAACACCTTAATATTATAACATAACAAAATTAATTTGAACCAATTTTACCAAACAAGATAAATCGATTTAACAAAAATTTAAGTGGTCTTGTAACTTTTTTAAGTCTTAAATTTGGAAGTTTTTTAAAAATAATTTTCTGATCAGTTTTAAAATATAATTGAACATGTCATTGTGTATGTTAAGAAGTCTTAAAAAAGAAAATCAAATTTTTAAAAATGTGAGTATCTTTCTTCTTCAGACGGTGCTTTGCCAACTGGTAAAAATTACTTGCTGTCATTGTGGCACATAGCAGAATTATCTAAAATGAAATAATCAAATGAATTTTTAATGATTCTGCGATGAGCTACAGTGACAACCATAATTGAAAGTAATTTTTACTATTAGACAAAGCACCCTCTGTAGAAGGAAGGTACCTATATTTTTTAAATCTGAAATTCTTTTTCTAAGACACCTTAACATACACAATGACATGTAAAATCTTTTGATCAATTATACTTTAAAACTCATGAGCAAATTTTTTTTAAATCTTCTGATTTTAGAGCTAAAGAAGTTACAAGACCCTTTAATTCACATACAGCAATAAAAAAACTTTATTCTCACTTAATGAGAAGAATCATTGCTGTCTACTTTTCTTTGTGTTAGAATGTGTATTGTCTTCATTTTTTCTTTTGTGAATGTTTTGGGATCCTGCCGTTAACTTCCTCAAATCCATAGAATCTTCTGTCAATTGTTTTATATTATTTTTAGAATTAACCTGCATCATATACTTTCCTTCTGAAAATATGTACATTATCATTATATTGTTATATTTTTTGTATAGATTGGTTATTTAAAAAATTTAACGTACTCAAATTCTTTAAGTATCCTTTTACGGACACAGGAGATCCTTTTTTGTATGCTAACAAATTGTCACAATCCAAGACTTTTACGTCCAATTTGTAAGTACCATCCGTAATGGAACCATACCAATAACTTTGGTAATTGTCTTTCGTTGAGGTAACTTTTTGAAATGCAGTTTTAATGTAACCTTTAGTCGCTAGAAAGTAACAAAATAAAATATATATCTTGAATATTAAAGAAATTATTTGTTTTTTAATATAAATTAATGAAATTAAAATTAAATTTAAAGCACGTGGTAAAAAATTAAATCAATAATTAAGGTCATGTTAAGTTTCCATCCCATAGTTTTGTTGATTTTTCAAAAATTTAAATTTAAATTACAGGGAAAATTTTTTATTCTTACAAAAAAATGCAAGAAGTATTTATTTAATTGGATGAAATAAAATAATAAATTGAAAAAAATGAATTTAGGTAAATTAATTAATAAAAAATATTACTTATGCAGCCAGAAGCATTCGATAGTTCTTCGAATTTTAGTACCATGGGATCTGTTGTAATATTATCATTCATTGGTTGACAATGAATGATTGTGTTATTTTGAATTACAAGTTCGTAAGGAAGATTTCCCAAATTCCAACTTGAGTTCTCTACATATTTAGAATATGCTCCATCGATGTGGATTTTCTGTAAATATAAATTTCAAATTATTTTTTGAAAAACATTCACGTATGTGGTGATGGTATGTTCATATAGATTATTATTTTTTTAATGAGTTATGAGCAAAAAAGCTTAGGTGTGGCAAGATGCAAGCCTTTCCCCTACAAAACCATCAAAAATGTTCTATTTCTAACAAGAATGAATATTTTAATATTACTTAATTTTTTAAAAAGTTTTACCTTAATTATCTTGATAAAGACCATAATTCTGCACAGATATTCAATTTTTAAGAATTTAAATAAAATTCTTTGAAATTGCAAAATTTAATTATTTTCATAAATAACATTATTCATCACAAAAATTAAATTATTTCCAAAAGTAATAAAATTCTTGAAAAGAAATTAATTTTTGAAAATTTTAACGAATTTCTAGTTAAGAATTCAATTATCTTTACAAATAGCAAAATTTTTTGACAAAAATACAATTATTTTCAAAATTTTAAATAAAATTCTTTGCAAAATAATAATAAACTTTAGTAGGATTTTAATTACATTTCTTAAAAGAAATTACATATTTTCAAAAAATAAATAAATTTTTAAATGTTTTAAATTATTATCTTTTAAAATCTGAACTATTCTTACTTTTAACTGACACTTCTGTATAATTAATTTTTTTAAAAAGTTTAATTGAAATTTTTTTAAGATAATTTCAAGTTTTTATTTTGTAACATATTTTACTGAAGATTTTTCAAGGAATTGAAATTTCGTATAAAATTGAATTGTGAACAGATAGATTTGGAAATTCTCAAAGAACTTATTCAAAAATTATAAAAAATAATTCATTTCAAGAAAAATTGTAATTAAAAATTCTAAAAAATAGTAATTGAATTGTAATGATGAAAATAATTTTTAAGAAGTTAAAGTAAAAATATCCTTTTATTTTTATTATAAAATTTTATCATACTAGTTATTACAGTGAGTCGATTTCATTATTGATGTTTTCGAATAATTTTACAATTAAAGAAATTATTATTAACTAAATGTAATAGAGAATTTTTTTGAGTATTTAATAATTTTTAGAGTGAATCAGAATAATTCATTAGAGTCAGGGAAAAGTCAAAATTTTGCCTGTAAATCAGGAAAAAACAAAGTTAAATTTTTGTGGCAACCCTGATAAAACAAATGTTTTATTTTAATTTAAGGATTTATTTTTTTTAATCTTCATTACTAAAATTTTTGTTCATTCTATAAGAAAAATCTGTTTTTTGAATTCTATATAAAAGAAGAAAAATGTATTTTTTATTTTATTTATTACTGAAAATTGTTATAGTTGTAATTTTTAAAATATATATACGATTTATTCAAGAATATTAAATAAATAATATATTAATACAGTAAAATAAACTTACGTATCCTAATTGGATAAGTGAATTCCATTTCTCTATTTCTTTATTCCAAAATGTAACTTGAATTCTCTTCCCATCATTGTTATGGACATAAATTCGCCACCTGCGCTTAGCTTCTTTGCTTTTTTCCCCGCCAAAGGTACGTATTTCTTCGATTTCGTCGATGTAAGCAACGATTTCTCTAAAAAAATTTTTTAATATTTTAAAATTATAATACGTTATATACGCCATTTTTGGAAAATATACAAATATATGAATAATATGTATATCTTTTTAAAATACAATGCTAATTAATTATTAACAAAAACAAAATTTATTTATTATTGATTTGCCTCAAAATCTTAGAACGCGAAAGAGCTAAAAGGCTTTAATTTTTTTTAAATTACAGGTATCCCCGGAGGACATAAAATGAGAGTATTTTCAGGCCTATTCATAAAGTTTAACTATATTTTTTTTGCATTTTTCATTTTGTAAAAAAAAGTTTTTCTTAATAACTTAAAAAAATGTTGGGACACCTATAAATGTTTTTCTTTAGTTTTGTAGAGTTTTTTTAAAAACATCTTTTGAGCCTACATTGAACATTTATCGACCATATTAGCCATAGATATTAAAGATTTAAGAATCTAAATTTTTCAAAAATATTACTTTTTTGAAAATTTTGTTTGAATAATGTGAAAGTAACTTTAAAAGTATCATTACCAACTTCTAGAGCATTACAAAATGCTTCGATTGACCTATTTTTGAACCTGATTCGGTCAGAAATTATGAAATTATTGGTATTTGAAAAATCAAAAATTGTGATGATCCTGAAGTTCTGAACGTTCAAATGAACGAAATTTATTTATTTCTTCTTCAAATTAAATTTATACTAAACAAATTTTGCTTCACTATAAAAACACATTTTTTGGAATAAGATTTAAATATTTTTAACCCTTTTATAAAAAGTAATACTTATATTTCAATTATTATTTCTATGAGGATGCAAAGTTTTCATGAAATGAACACCAAAATTATATAAATGTACAACTTGGCAAGCGATTTTTTTAATCATTATTGATTAAATATTTAAGAAAATAAGATAAAAAATTTGACTTACACTAGTTTATCATCATGTTCGATGCTTTCTAACAATGTTGATGATGTAAATGGTAACTCAGATATATCTAATGTATCATCTAGAATCACATTAGGGTTTAAATAATCAGATTCAAGTCCTGGATCAGTAACTGCAGTCGATGAATTCGAATCAGCAGATCCATGTCCTAAATCTCCATCATTAGGTTCAGGATTCTTATTGAGTTTCATTAGAAGTTCTAAAATAGAGAATATAATCATTTATTTCATGTATCCTATTTGTATGTCTAAAGAAGGAAAGAAAGAAAATTATAAAGACAATAATAAATAGAATACAGAAAAAATGTGTTAATAGTTTTAAAAAAATTTGGAAATTTATACATAAAAAATAATATTGTAATTATTTATTTGAAAATTAAATTAAATTTTTTCTCCAACAAAGTTTTTTTTATTTTTTCTTCAAAATATTGAGAACATTAAATTTAAATTTTTTTTTGTTTTATTATTTTAAAATAATATGAAATCGAAATTTTAATTAAGTATATGACGGGTTCCACGTCAAGTGACCCAGGTCAAAAATTTACATGGAATATTTGAAAAATTTGTAGTTTCTTTAAAACAAAACGAAAATACGTTTTCTATTTTGGGTTTTGCTGCTGTTTTTCAACACTTTCTAATAGTGTGAACAAATGTAGAGAAAAAAAATTGTTTGACCTTGAAAAATTAAATTAAAAAATAAAATTTCATTTTTTTATCAAATGGGCAGTTTGTATTTTTAAAAAAAAAATGTTATCATAAAGGTGAGGTTTTTTCCTAAAAAAAATGTATAGGTCAAAACGTGGGACAAGAACTTTTAACTGGTCAAATTAAGCATTTACTTCTGCCGTGCACCGTCCCACAGTGGAATTTTTTTTACAATTTACTATTAAAAAATGTCTATAGCTTACAATTTTTAACCGATTTGAGTGTTCTTTGTCTGTAGTTAAAGGGAAATAAATTCTTAAGACATCCTTCGAGGCAGATTTTGGAGATTTTAATTATTTATAATTTTTTTTAAATCAAAGTTAACAAATTAATACACTTTTTTAAAAAAAGGAGGTTTATTTTCTTATTTCGTTGATGCACATGATCTAAATCAATTTAAATTCATCCAATATGACCACCAGATAATTAATAAAGCATAAAATAATTTATTTCAATTGTTATAAACAATATATAGCCCAACAACGAGCAGGGGCGGTGGATTGCAGAAGTAAATGTTTATTTTGACCAGTTAAAAGTTCTTGTCCCACGTTCTGACCTATACATTTTTTTAGGAAAAAACCTCACCTTTATGATAAAAATTTTTTTTAAAAAATAAAAACTGTCCATTTGATGAAAAAATGAAATTTTATTTTTTAATTTAATTTTTCAAGGTCAAACATTTTTTTTCTCTACATTTGTTTACACCATTAGAGAGTGTTGAAAAACAGCAGAAAAACCCAAAATAGAAAACGTATTTTCGTTTTGTTTTAAAGAAACTACAAATTTTTCAAATATTCCATGTTAGACCAAAAATTTAAACTTTGACCCCCTCCAGTTTTAATATTTGTTTAAATAAATTAATAATATTTGGTATTTTTAATTGTATCTAATAGGACTACTGTTTCTGCAAAATTTTAACCCGATCCCAAACATTTAAAATTTTGACCTGGGTCACTTAACGTGGAACCCGTCATATGTAATATGAAGAGATATATTCATATTATATTCATATTATATATTCATATTATATTCGTTGATAGAAATCAATATTATTACATACAAAGAATATAATAGACATGATAAATTATAGTTATGAGATCTGTGTTTACATGTTTTGTATATCATTTATGCCTTCAAAAATACTTATTCAATGCGAGTATTTTGAAATAAAATCAAACGTAATTACACACACACATTTATATAAATATATTCCAAAGTAATAAGATATTTAGAAATTGAAAAATATAATTTATTTAACTAATCGTTTCGTTCGTACCAACCATGCTTTTCAAGAGATTATATGTATAAAAATCTATTAAAAATATTAAATTAATACAAAAAATAATAATTATGAAGAAATTTTCTTTTAAACAAATTAAATCTGTAGTAGAATTGTATTTTTCAATTACTAAACAATTTTTATTTTAGAATATATGGCTTAAAATTTTGAACTACAATTTTAAATGAATTTTAAAAATTTAATTTAAAAAAATGAATATATATATATATATATAATACTGAATACAAAAGTTTTTTTTTAAATATTTGTATTAAAAAAAATTTTTGAAAGCATAAATAATAAAAATCATGGAATGAATGCATAAAAAATCATAAGTAAGAATAAACAGATTGTAACTTACCTAATTCGTTCATATTCAGTTCCTTAATTTCGACTAGTCACCGTTAAATTCCAAACACTACTGCGAAAAATATGAGAAATGATATTTTTACCAAAAGAAACCTACACCTATCATCGTTTTTCCGTTAGATCCAATCATGATTTGATAAAGTATATATTTTCAAAGGAAAATATTTTAAATTACTAGGGTAGAGGGCCCCAAGGTGGGCACTTTAGGAAAATTCTTATGCATTATTTAGCAGCACTGAATGCTTCAGGTTATTTTCATTGTTTATGAAAACCAAGTTTTTAGTAATGTTTAGACGTGTATAACTAAACGCGTTTGTTTCTAACAGAGACATAGTTAAATTTCGGTAAAACAAATTTTGAAAACATTGTTTTTAAAGTGGTATTGTGATTACAATTAATAGTTTAAAAATTATAAACTTTGTGGTAATTTTGTTTACATATAATACAATAATATTATAAATATTATAAATGAATATCTATAAAATTGTGTGTTATACAATTTTAAGATAACTTTTTAAAAATGTCGTCTTGGCCCTAAGGTAGTAACCATGCGTTTTTATTAAAAAAACACTTTGAACTTTTTACGATGTAATATTTATCAAAATATATTATAGAGAGAAAAATGTAAATTTTATCGATTTGGAAAATTTCACGATGAATAATAAAATAATTTAGTTTTTAATGTATGAAATAGCATAATTAATTGAGAAATGTTGTAATTTAATAATTTAATAAATTATAAAACCAGTTAACAATAATTTAAAAAACAAGTTTACTTCAGGCCGGTTAGCTTTCTCATTATGATAAACATACTTCTTCTAGAGAAAATAAAAAATCTTCATGATAGTTTACAATATTATAATTCTTTAAAAAAAATTTTAATGATATTTAAAGTTTGTAAATACTAGTTGCTTTATTTTTTTGCAGAATAATTATTTCAAAGTATTTAAATAAGTTTTAAAAAACCAAGTTAATTTTATAAATACATGTAGGACAGAATTATTTTTAAAAAATAAAAAAAAAGATTATTTTCAAAAATTTAAAGCAATGATTTAATCTATATGAAATATGAAATATGAACTTTTTATAGATAAATCCGAGTAAATAGAAAGATTTTTTCTTATTTTTATTGGAAAAAAGTCTCCATTTTTTGTTCAGGGATAAAAATTAAATGTTATATTTTTTAAGAATGAAATATTCTAATAATTTTTCGTAATAGAGCATTTGAATAAAATTATTTTTACAGCCCTATGGGTTTTTTTCTATTTTGTAGATTTGAAAGAAAAATAATATCCCAACTCTTCCAACCTATAAAAAAGAAACATTTTATTCCTTCCTCCTTTGAGAAAATTGTTTTGTTCTATTCTTTATATTAAGGGCGTAGCTCTTAAATAAATAAAATAAATAAATTTCTTTTTAATAATTGAATTCGTTTTAAAAAATTTATTAAAATTGTAGATATTGAAAATATTTGAATTTCAGGGAGAAATTTCATTATTTATGAAAATAATTTAATTATTCTTTTTTAAGATTTTCCAAAAACTTTTGAAAATAATTGATTTGTTTTGAAAAATTGTAAATATAATTTTTGAAAATAATTACATTTTTTCAAAGAATTTTTTTTAAATTTTATTAAAAATAATAATAAAGTTGAAATTATCGGCCACTCCGAGTCAGGTTGATAGTCAGGTTTATTAAAAATACTTGAAATTCAGTAATAAATTTTTATTATTTGAAAAAATAGTTAAATTTTGTTAAATTTTGCTCAGTCTACTTCAGTGAAAATTTGCTGCGTTTTAGCACTGAAATTGAACTGGGAAAAATTACCTGCAAAGGGGTCGCTATAGCGTGGTGTTTATGACCTAACTGTCATTAAGATGAAGGACGAATATTTCTTTGTTAGTGTAAGAATAATTTTTATTTATATTTTAACATTATATTTGTTTTTCATGAACTTAGATTCTTTACAAGTAATTGTTAAAGGATCGGGTACAGTAACCGACACACACTCAGTGAACGACACCCCAAATTAAAAAATGCAATAAATATAAAACAAAACATTATTAATGTATATTTAAAAAATGTTAATATTATAAAATACAATATTATACAATACAGTAAAAAAGTTTAAGGCTTTTAGGCTAAGTGTTAAACGGCTGGGGAAAAATGTTAAATTTTATTTCTAGCCTACTAAAACTACTTTCTGATAGGTGTTAAGTAGTAGATAAGTTAAAGTATGACTAAAGCAGGTAATTTATAATTTGTAAACATTAATTTATAAACATCTGTGTCCTAGAAGAATTATAATGTGAATAAATTAAAATTTTAAAATAAAAAAAAATCTTGGGTTTATTTCACGTGAGCGGTCTTATTTTTACCGAGTACTTGCCTAATGTCAAATAAATAATTTTTAAACATAAAAACCTGAAAAACACAAATTATAATTTAAAAAACATGGGAAAAATGCACTTAACATTTAGCCCCATCCATTATTTAACATTTAGACCCAGGGTGCGTTTTTGACTTTAACAACAAATATACAAAATCTGACTAGAAATATTTTGCAAATATCTTTAGGTACTTTTTAGGGAATCCAAATAAATTGTGATAAGAATAAATTCAAAAAACATACTTAAAAGTTGAAATTTTCTTTTACATAAAAATTTACAAATGAGCGGTCAAAACGCAAATGTGTTATGGACACCACAAAAATGAACAAAATATCACACAACTACAGACATTTATTTAGAGTGATAAGATCCTTCTATAGTTAAAATTGCAATGCTCTAACTATTTCTGTCCGAAAGATAATGAATTTTAACTGTTTTTGAGAGTTTAACATTTAGCCCCAGTCTCATTTAGCTCCTACATTAATAATGTTTTGTTTTATATTTATTGCATTTTTTAATTTGAGGTGTCGTTCACTGAGTAGGTGTCGGATGATTCATGTGAATCAAAATTCCAAAAAATATCCATTTTTACGTAACAATTAGAGTATGCTAAATAGTTCATAACTTTTTTAAATAAAAATTTGTCATAATGAATTTTAGATATTTGTAATCATAAAACATCACAGATTTACATTTTTTAAAAATTGTATTATTTAAATTGTGAACTTTGTAAGACATAAAATTATAATCCCATACAACAATAGGTAACGGGTCTATTGGTAAAGCGGGGGTTGCAACGTAATTTTAAAATTTAATGGGAATTTCATTTAAAAGTTTGGTAATCTTTTTTATTTTCACTTCTAGACTGTTAATAATGGTTTGTTGACATAACCTCCATTTGAAACTATTGTTTAAGGACTTTAAAAATGTCTACCGGAACATTAAAAAAACAGACTGAAATAGTACTGAGGCTAGTAAAATTTCAGTAGTTTTTTAGTCTATTCTTTCGGCAGGGATAAGCGAATTTAAAGTAGTAAAATCGAAAAATTTAAAAAACAAAGAAAAAAAGTATCTTTTTGTGTCACAAAATAAAAAAATGTATCCAAATAGTAACAAATAAGAGAAAAAGTAGTACATGGTTGGTTTTCGTAGAGGAGTGTGAAGCTTGCATATTAGTTAACTCTAAATTGTAATTAATTAATTATAATTTCTTGCTTTACCCAATTCGCATATCTATTCAAGTTTTAATGTGATATTATTATAACATAAACATATTATCACAGTATTTCATGAAAAACAATATTTTTAATGTATAATTTTTGCGGATATTCTAAGTTCTTGACTACAGCATTGTCTAGGACTTGAAATTTTAAATTTTCTTTAGATTTGACTCTAGAACAACCAACATAAACTTGACCATGACCAAATGCAGAAATAGGTAGAAATATTCCTACTTTATCAAAAGATTGTCCTTGAGATTTATTGATAGTCATTGCATAAGCAAGTCTAATTGGAAATTGTCTTCTAACCATTTTAAAAGGAAATGTATGTTCTGAAGGAGATAAATCAATACGAGGAATAAAAACTATTTCACCTTTAGATTTGCCAGTAATTATTTCTGCAGCAATAACGTGTTTCAATAAAGATTTTACAACTAATCGAGTCCCATTACATAATCCTTGAACCAAATTCATATTTCTTAAAAGCATAATTATACATCCTTTCTTCAAGGATAATTTATGAGGAGGCATACCATCTGGTGTTAAACTATTTAAAAACTCTACTGGAACAATATTATTTTCATCTTTTGCATCATCATCAGATACATGTGAATCAATACTATAATAAATTACTTTTTCTCCTTCTAACTTTGACAAAATACGATCATTTAAGTTTAATACTTCTGAATTAGTCAATGATAGAATACAAGAAGAATAAACACTCACATCATTTGGATTTATCGATGGCCCATATATTTCATCAATTAAATTCCCATTCGATATCAAATCCTGAGGAATTTCTAGTGCATCATTTTCTTTTTCAAACGTACTTTGAGGTTTGCCATCACCAACATTCAATAACCAATTTGAAAACTTTACCTGATTATCATGTAATCTAACGTTAACGTTTAAAGACCTAGTTTCAAAGTATTGCCACAATTTACTATTTTTTACACATACCTCAACAATATGAGTGCGACTACCATGCGGAACAATTGGCAAAGTTTGCCTAAAATCTCCTGAAAGCAAAATAACTTTACCTCCAAACGGTTTATTACATTTTGTAATATCTCTTAACATGGATTCCATTGCTTGTAAAGCATATTTTGGGGCCATTGAAATTTCATCCCAAATAATAATTTTTGCACTCCTTAAAAGTTCAGCATGTTTCGACATTCCACTTATATTACATGTTGAATCTTCATTGATTGGTATAGGGAATTTAAACATAGAATGTGACGTTCGTCCTCCTTTTAGAAGATTAGCCGCTATACCAGTCCAAGTAACTGATAAAACTACTATTTCCTCACTTTCGACTGTAGTAATAATTGTATTGTGTAAATAGCTTTTACCACTTCCTCCAGGTCCATCAAGAAAAAAATATATACTGTCATATTCATCATTATGTACGGCCATCATAACATTATTAAAAACTTGCGGTTGTTCATCATTCAAACTTTCAATAAGATTATTAGCTTCTTTTTTTAGCAATTGTAATGTTAACGCATTATTTTCCTTATCAACAGAATTATAATCTTCAAGAATTTTTAGATCGATGTTTGGTAAACCAAATTGATGTAATGTAAATCCATGAAAATTAAATACTTCATTAATTAAAAGTAATGATTTTTGAAGCGATATTTCCACAGGTAAATTATTATCAAAAATCATGTGTTCTTTAAACTTATTCCATAAATCAACAGCATTTACAGGTATAGGCCAGTCGGTGAGTGCAAAAACTGCCCAAAAATCCGAACAGCAAAGTCTAAACGGTTTCTGGTAGTTTGGGGGCTCCTTATAAGAGCCCCACAGTTTGCTCTCGATTTCCGGGTGCGAAAAAGAGTGTAAACAATCGCCAAAGTTTGGAAAACATGGTTTTTCGATGCTCGTTGCTTCCGGTTAAGTTTTAGGGGAAAAAGTTGTTATTGAAAGTTATAGAGCTTGGAAATATCTTTCAAATGATGGGTCATACGTTAAAAAAGGTTAATTAGTTTAGTTGCAAATGAATTTAAACCATTAAAAATAGCACTTCTTTAATTGTTTAATAACATTGTTAATAATTATCGAATTTGTTCATAACTTACCAGGAATGTTCTCCTTGCGAAGCTGAATAAATCCCAAAAAAAATTAACTAGATCGGAGAAATAGTTTATGCATAATTCCATTTGTTAACTAAAAACATGTAATTTTTCAACGGAATTTCCCCACTTTTGGTCCATCGAATTTCGATTTTTTTTTTGGAAAGTACACTTAAGAAGTCAAACTTTCATCCTATTTAAATGGCCAATTGATTTTTTTTATCTAAGTGCATAATAAAAAGGGTTAAAAAAGGGTATGTTTTTTTGTCATAAACAAATGGAATAACTCAGTCAATTTTCACTTTATCAATTTAGTGTAAACGGCATTTAATTTTATTTGTTTTCACAAAACTTTTTCAAAAAAAAAATCCAACCTAGTTTCAAGGGGGGGAGAGTTAGTTTTTATTTTTCAAAAAATTCCTGACTAGATAATAATTAATATTTTTAATTGAAAATTGTGCCACTTATAGTTCAATACATGTATTTTACGAAAAAAAATTGAACATAAGTTTTTGTGCATTTATTTTTCATTTACATCAAGTAAAAGTAAATACATCCTTTTTTCAACCTCTAAACGTCGGAGTGGGGGTACTCGGAGGAGCGTGATTCTCGCCGCCACAACTCAATTCAGCCGTTCAAATTTGCAAAAATTGTCATAACTTCGTTAATTATTTACCGATTTTAATCATTCTTTTTTTAATTTGATGTATTTTTTTACGCTGAATCCAAAAATGATTTTATATTTTTTCAAAATACAATATTTTTAAAAATAAAAGAGAAAATTTTTTTAACAAAAAATGTTTAATTATTATTTATAACATTTGACAAAAAATTCTTTTCGTACATATAATTCCATTGCATTCAGAATAATATTATGACATAAAAAAATTCAAATTATTTTTATATAAGTGTGTAGCATCGTTGTATTGATAGTTGGACAGGTGTGCATATGTGAACCTAATGCTACACACTTATATAAAAATAATTTGAATTTTTTCATGTCATAATATTATTCTGAATGCAATGGAATTATATGTACGAAAAGAATTTTTTGTCAAATGTTATAAATAATAATTAAACATTTTTTGTTAAAATAAACAAAATTTTGTTGCCCAACCAATGAAAGCCAATTCTTATAGGATTTTGTCCGTAGAATCCGAATTTGACCTTGAAAATATTGGATGGGCTCTAGTTTTCAAGCAATTTACGTTCCAATACGCAAATTACGCATTTTTGGCATATTTTAAATGAATGTAAAACCAAATATCGAAACAGTAAATCTGTCCGCATAGGACCAAATTAAAGCTTAAATACTGCTCTTTAATATCCAAAAACAAAAAATTTAATTTATAAACGCTTTAACCTTTAATGTCCAATGGAACATACGCTGTTTCATAAACGTATTAAAAATAACATTACTTTTCACCAGGTAAGACAAATTAAGTAAAAATTAGTCTCTCTGGGGGTATTTGTAGACGCTGCTTAGAAATCTGTATTCAGATTTTAATATTCAAAATGGCGCATTCAATATGGAGAATTTTTTTTTATTTGTCATTTTTATCATAAAGGTGTAAACTATTTTTAAAAATTAGTCCGTAATTTTTAATTTTTATATTTCATAGCAGATTTATAAGCAGCGACCACAAAAACCTCCAGAGATACTAATTTTTACTTAAATTGCCTTACCTGATCAAAAGTAATGTTATTTTCAATACGTTTATGGAACAGCGTATGTCCCATTGGACATTAAAGGTTAAATTGTTTTTAATTTAATTTTTTTGTTTTTGGATATTAAAGAGCGGTATTTAAGCTTTAATTTGGTCCTATGCGGACAAATTTACTGTTTCGGTATTTGGTTTTACATTCATTCAAAAAATGCCAAAAATGCGTATTTTGCGTATTGAAACGTAAGTTGCTTGAAAACTAGAGCCAATCCAATATTTTCAAGGTCAAATTTGGATTCTACGGACAAAATCCTATAAGAATCGGCAATAACATTTTAGGCAACATGCAATTAATGAAATTTTGTCGGCCTGTGTTCTCTTTTATTTTTAAAAATATTGTATTTTGAAAAAATATAAAATCATTTTTGGATTCAGCGTAAAAAAATACATCAAATTAAAAAAAGAATGATTAAAATCGGTAAATAATTAACGAAGTTATGACAATTTTTGCAAATTTGAACGGCTGAATTGAGTTGTGGCGGCGAGAATCACGCTCCTCCGAGTACCCCCACTCCGACGTTTAGAGGTTGAAAAAAGGATGTATTTACTTTTACTTGATGTAAATGAAAAATAAATGCACAAAACCTTATGTTCAATTTTTTTTCGTAAAATACATGTATTGAACTATAAGTGGCACAATTTTCAATTAAAAATATTAATTATTATCTAGTCAGGAATTTTTTGAAAAATAAAAACTAACTCTCCCCCCCTTGAAACTAGGTTGGATTTTTTTTTTGAAAAAGTTTTGTGAAAACAAATAAAATTAAATGCCGTTTACACTAAATTGATAAAGTGAAAATTGACTGAGTTATTTCATTTGTTTATGACAAAAAAACATACCCTTTTTTAACCCTTTTTATTATGCACTTAGATAAAAAAAATCAATTGGCCATTTAAATAGGATGAAAGTTTGACTTCTTAAGTGTACTTTCCAAAAAAAAAATCAAAATTCGATGGACCAAAAGTGGGGAAATTCCGTTGAAAAATTACATGTTTTTAGTTAACAAATGGAATTATGCATAAACTATTTCTCCGATCTAGTTAATTTTTTTTGGGATTTATTCAGCTTCGCAAGGAGAACATTCCTGGTAAGTTATGAACAAATTCGATAATTATTAACAATGTTATTAAACAATTAAAGAAGTGCTATTTTTAATGGTTTAAATTCATTTGCAACTAAACTAATTAACCTTTTTTAACGTATGACCCATCATTTGGAAGATATTTCCAAGCTCTATAACTTTCAATAACAACTTTTTCCCCTAAAACTTAACCGGAAGCAACGAGCATCGAAAAACCATGTTTTCCAAACTTTGGCGATTGTTTACACTCTTTTTCGCACCCGGAAATCGAGAGCAAACTGTGGGGCTCTTATAAGGAGCCCCCAAACTACCAGAAACCGTTTAGACTTTGCTGTTCGGATTTTTGGGCAGTTTTTGCACTCACCGACTGGCCTAGTAAACCAAACACACATATATATGCAAATAAACGACACAGTTCTTTAGGAAATTTCATACTCACAGCTTCAGTCAAACAATTATCCCACTCGTTATCGTCTACCATCAAATTTCTTGCACGTGCTGCTTCTGTATAAGTATTATATGTAATACCTTCATATGTTCTCACATCTTCAAACGATTTAGCACCACGTACATAAAGCAGTAAAATTCTCAAAAAATATCTTTCAATGTCTTTTGGACTTACAAAATACATTCGACAAATTACAGGTTTTGTAATTCGTTCTCGTTTTTTCCAAGTTTTAGATGACTCAACAAAAACATACTTATGTGGTATTTCAGAGTACAAATATTTGCGTGCCTCAGGATCTTGTCTATTTAACTGAAACCATGCTGTCAACATTGTATTTTTAAATTTCTCAATTGCAGTTTGTTCCATTCCTTCTTGAAAACATATTGATTGTTGATTAGACAAATGTACAGCTAGTCTATATGTTACATGTGATTGCTCGTGCATATTAAATTCATAAAGTCTATGCATTGCTTCTGGTGGACACACATACCGTGTATTTAAATAATTTTGAATTTCATCATAATGCATTACTTGATTATCATCTTTATAACCAACTATTGCATAGTCATGTCCCTTATAACAATATTTAAATAAATATTTAATACCACCTGTACTACCACATGCTACTAAGTTAATATGACATGCAAATTTTTTACTTAAATACGGATTATATGATACAATCATCGAATTGTCAGCAGTGCATTTAATTGACCCGTCTCTATTATAAAAAATAATTTTTTTGCCATCATTTCTCCGTCTATACTCCGGATAATGTTTTGATTCACAATTTGTTTTTGGAGAAAATGGTTTAGGATAATTTTTCGTGCATAATTTTGTTTCAGGATTCATACAAGGAGAATATACATTTTGCTTTCCACAAGGTCCATGAACTTGAAACTGCTTCACAATTTTATAAAGTTCTAGATTCTTTATTTCATCAGGAATTTCTGCACATATTATTTTATCTACAGTTTCTGCATCACGAATAGCAAACTTTTTATCTAAAAAAATTATTGAATGTACATGAGGCAATCCACGCTTTTGAAATTCTATTACATATACATAAGCAATGACTGGACCAAAAATTTGTTTATCTTTTAATTCACACATTAATTCTTTTACTTTCTTTTGAAAAACTCGGGCAACAATATCTGGTCGGTCAGATGCAGTTTCCGAATCCAACAAATTTTCCATAATCTCAGGCCATTTTGGATTACATGTCATTGTAATAAATAAATCTGGTTTTCCAAATTCTTGAACTAATCGCATAGCGTCCATAAAACATTGTTGATAAGCACGTGGTCCTCCAGTAAATGTAGAAGGTAAAATAATCATTTTTCCTGGTCGAATATTTTCTTGTGTTGCTTTATTATTCATATAATCCATTAATCCACAGTACATTTCAGCTCGAAGTTTTTTCTGTTCAAAACGAATATATTTTAAACGCTCACCTTCTACTTTTGACCAACTATCAACAATAAATTGTTGAGTTAATTTACCCATTTGTAAACATGGATTAAATGTTCCTCTATAAGACAAGCGATACATATAAAATTGTAAAGGAGTAATATTACGAACACCATCAGTATGTTTCATATTTACAGTCCATCCTGGATCACCTGACGGAAACATTAAAGGATATGTCATAGGATCAGCATGTGTGCTAAGACTACTAATTGGAATACTTTTAGAACCCCTTGGATGAATACATATATCACGTTCAATTGGAGGTTCGCCATCTTCGCTAACAAATATGACTGCTACTTCATTGCAAGACGGAACGTTATATTTGCTTTGAGAAAATTTTCTATCACGTTTAAACCACATTTGAATGCTTCTCGGACACTCATTCATTAATTTTGCCCTTGCTTCTTCTTCCAATTCCAATTCTTTCATCATTTTAAATGACTTTGCATAAATATTAACATCTCTTAGTAAAATATCTATTTCAGTCATTAGTAATTGCAAGCATTTTTTATTACATTCATTATTCAATCGTTCCATCACCGCTTCGTCAGTATCAAGAATATACAATTGACCATATTTTCGGTTATCTCCATCATCGGGATGAAGAGAATATGTATCATGATACACTTGCCCATGTATACGAAAAACATAAGGACCATATCCTTTTGGAACTTCTAATTTAGCTCCCATGCTAGCAAATGCACACGAACTATTATAAGAACGAATATTTTCCTTATAATTCTTACTTTTAAAGTTATTCTCAAATAATAGATTTTTCAAATACAAAGGATAAGGATTTAAATCATACAATTTTACTTTTCCTTTATGACAACAACTACTAAATTTTTTATTCTGTGGCCTTTCACACAAAAAATGTAACGCGTCACAAAACATACATTTGACATTCATTAAACCTAAATAATTTCGTGAAACTCTATTTTCATCAAACTCTTCAGGCAACATAATTCCAACTCCTAAAGTTTCCATCATTTTTCCATTTTTTTTCTCAATTTTACTTGTTAAATCCTTTTTTTGGCGCTGTTCTTTTTCTAATTTTGTTTCCAATAACAATTTCCTTTTTTTACTTTCTAAATCATTTTTTTGTCGATTTTTTTTGTCATCTTCTGTTTCTAAATATAATTTTTTTCTTTTACATTCTAAATTATTTTTTTGCCGATTTTTTTATCATCGTCCGTTTCTAAAGATAATTCTTTTCTTTGATAATTTAAATTGTTTTGTTTCATTATTTGTTTTTCATCTACATTTTTCGCTTTTCTTTCATTACGTTTTCTCAATCTATCATTCTCTAGTCTCATTTTTTTCTGTTCATCTGTTTCTTCAAGCATTGCCTTCCTTTTCCTCTTCTTTTTTGTTATATCCTGAAATCTCTTTTTCTCATTTTTTTCATTTTCATTAAATTTCTCCTCCGAATATTCTGTAGATATACCTATATTCACATTATTGTTGAAAACGAATTTAGATTCTATTCCCAACAATTTTTCAAATTCAGAAATATGATTGTCATTTAACTTTTTTCCTTCAGTATGTAAAATTTTATAATCTTTATCAATTAAATTTTGTCGATCTTTTGTTTCATTTCCTATTTCTAAAGCTACTTTATTTTTTTTACCTTTTAAATTGTTTTGCGTCATTACTTTCTCTTTATCTATATTTCTAGTTTTTTGGTAATTACGTTTTCTCAGTCTATCATTTTCTAGTCTGATTATTTTCTGTTCATCTGTTTCTTTAAGCCTTTCCTCCCTTTTCCTCTCCTTATCTTTTATTGCTCGATGTCTCTTTTTCTCATCGTTTTCATTTTTATTAAGCTTCTCCTCTGAATATTCTGTAGATATACCTCTATTCACATTATTATTACTAATACTGATACTAGTTTCACAAATGGAAGACAAGTTTGGTATTTCTATGAGTTTTGTAGCTCCATCCGTTAAAAGACATTTCCAATCATACTCAACAAAAAAAGGTCTAATAACATTTGTCAATTCCACGGAAGGAAATGAAATTAAACGATTATTTTCAAACATAAAAATTAGATGTCTCATTTCACTATGAATATAATTAACAGTATTTGGCAATTCATTGTAATATAAGGATGTTGCAAACGCTATTGCATATATGCCACAGTCAATTCCATTCGGCTGTAGATTAACAGTTGAAAAAACTACCGGTGGTTTGAAAGGATATAATCTAAGTAAATATTTTTTTTGATCTTCATTTAAGTATCCCTTATTAAGACTGTTATAAATATATAGCCTTAATCCATCATAATAAGTACAAATCCAATGACCAGATTTGCAAGCACCACTAAAAAGTATTTGAATGTGCTTCTGATTTTTATCAATCGGAATAATGAATTCAGGCGTAATTAAATATAAAGTACTTTGCATGTTAAATGCTAAATTTGATTCTCTTCTTAACAACTTTTCAAATTCAGTAATATGATTGTCATTTAACATTTCTCCTTCAGTATGTAAAACTGTATGATCTTTATCACGTAAATAAACCTTTTCTTCTTTGTTAGACATGATTTTTTAATAAAATGAACAAATAATAGAATATTTTTCAAAAACTTATTTTTCGAAAACAGACTTAAACTTAAAACTTATAACTCATAACTAAATAAATAAAAATAATGAATAAATATAAATAAATTTTTATAATTATTTTATTTTTTAGATAAATATTTTTTTAGATTTAAATTTATTTTATTTATTCTATTTATTATATATTTAATAATAAATAGTCATCAAATTTCTCAAAAATATCATAAACCACATAATTCGCATAAATAATATATCACATAAATCGCATTTTTATCCCATATAAATCACATAATAATACGCATAATAAGTCACATAATTTCGCATAAGTCATATAATAAATTATATTATAAATTATATTATATATTATATTATATATTATTATATATAATATTATATAATAATTATATTATATATTATATTATAAATTATATTGTAAATAAATATTAAGACGATTATTATAGTTAACCCTTACTTTTTATACCTCGTTCTGTATCTTCCTTTCTTTTACTCCTTAATCTATCTGTGAGTGAAAAAAGAAAAATAATTAGCCAATAAGGAAATAAGACGCCCATTTCGTATTTTGGCTTGAAAGTAAAATTCCCCACTTTTCCTTCCCCTATCAAATTCTGTTTCTCTCTTTCTACCTGCCACGGAAAATGGAGAAAACATGATACCCCCTTCAAAACCCAAAAAGTGGGCATTACTTTCTTAACTATTCGTCTCTCTTTTGCTCCTACTCTAAACTAAAAGGAGAGACAATACATCCCTCCCTCTCTTTCTCTCTCACTGTGAACAGACAGGCGAAACTTCCCTCTCTTTCTCTCTATCAACCTTTCTCTCTCACTGCGGACAGAATATACAGGCTGTGGACGGACTGAATGAAAGAAAGAATTCAAAGATTATTATAGTTAATTGTCCCAAAAATTGAAAAAAAATTTAATAAATTTCTCAAAAATTGGAAAAGTCTCAAGGAAGAAATTTTATTGCTCAAATAAGTTGCATTCGATACCAGGAAGATGTAAAAAAATTTGCGTGCCCTTAAACCCTTCGCTTCCCTTCGTTTATAAAGTAAATTGTCCCAAAAAGTTGAAAAAAAATTTAATAAATTTCTTAAAAATTGGAAAAGTCTCGAGGGAGAAATTTTATTGCTCAGATAAGTTGCATTCGATACCAGGAAGATGTAAAAAAATTTGCGTGCCCTTAAACCCTTCGCTTCCCTTCGTTAATAAAGTAAATTGACCCAAAAATTGAAAAAAATTTTAATAAATTTCTCAAAAATTGGAAAAGTCTCGGGGAAGAAATTTTATTGCACAAATAAGTTGCATTCGATACCAGGAAGATGTAAAAAAACTTGCGTGCCCTTCAACCCTTCGCTTCCCTTCGTTTATAAAGTAAAATATCCCAAAAATTGAAAAATTTTTTAATAAATTTCTTAAAAAATGTAAAAGTCTCGGGGGGAGAAATTTTATTGCATAAATAAGTTGCATTCGATACCAGAAAGATGTAAAAAAACTTGCGTGCCCTTAAATCTTTTGCTTTAATTCGTTTATAAAGTAAATGGACCCAAAAATTAAAAAAAAAAAATTTTATTGCACAAATAAGTTGCATTTGATACCAGGAAGATGTAAAAAACTTGCGTGCCCTTAAACCCTTTGCTTCCCTTCGTTTATAAAGTAAATTGTCCCAAAAATTGAAAAAATTTTTAATAAATTTCTTAAAAATTGGAAAAGTCTCAGGGGAGAAATTTTATTGCACAAATAAGTTGCATTCGATACAAGAAAAATGTAAAAAAACTTGCGTGCCCTTAAACCCTTCGCATCCCTTCGTTAATATAGTAAATTGTCCGCAAAAATTAAAAAAAATTTAAATAAATTTCTTAAAAATTGGAAAAGTCTCAGGGGAGAAATTTTATTGCTCAAATAAGTTGCATTCGATACCAAGAAGATGTAAAAAAATTTGCGTTTTCTTAAACCCTTCGCTTCCCTTCGTTTATAAAGTAAATTGTCCCAAAATTGGAAAAAATTTTAATAAATTTCTTATAAATTTGAAAAGTCTCGGGGAAGAAATTTTATTGCACAAATAAGTTGCATTCGATACAAGAAAGATGTAAAAAAACTTGCGTGCCCTTAAACCCTTCGCTTCCCTTCGTTACTATCGTAAATTGTCCGCAAAAATTAAAAAAAATTTAAATAAATTTCTTAAAAATTGGAAAAGTCTCGGGGGAGAAATTTTATTGCTCAAATAAGTTGCATTCGATACCAGGAAGATGTAAAAAAATTTGCGTGCCCTTAAACCCTTCGCTTCCCTTCGTTTATAAAGTAAATTGTCCCAAAAATTGAAAAAAATTTTAATAAATTTATTAAAAATTGGAAAAGTCTCGAGGAAGAAATTTTATTGCACAAATAAGTTGCATTCGATACCAGGAAGATGTAAAAAAATTTGCGTGCCCTTAAACCCTTCGCTTCCCTTCGTTTATAAAGTAAATTGACCCAAAAATTGAAAAAAATTTTAATAAATTTCTCAAAAATTGGAAAAGTCTCGGGGAAGAAATTTTATTCCACAAATAAGTTGCATTCGATACCAGGAAGATGTAAAAAAACTTGCGTGCCCTTCAACCCTTTGCTTCCCTTCGTTTATAAAGTAAATTGTCCCAAAAATTGAAAAAAATTTTAATAATTTTCTTAAAAATTGGAAAAGTCTCGGGGGAGAAATTTTATTTCGCAAATAAGTTGCATTTGATACCAGGAAGATGTAAAAAACTTGCGTGCCCTTAAACCCTTTGCTTCTCTTCGTTTATAAAGTAAATTGTCCCAAAAATTGAAAAAAATTTAAATAAATTTCTTAAAAATTAGAAAAGTCTCGGGGGAGAAATTTTATTGCTCAAATAAGTTGCATTCGATACCAGGAAGATGTAAAAAAATTTGCGTTTCCTTAAACCCTTCGCTTCCCTTTGTTTATAAAGTAAATTGTCCCAAAAATTAAAAAAAATTTTAATAAATTTCTTAAAAATTGGAAAAGTCTCGGGGGAGAAATTTTATTGCTCAAATAAGTTGCATTCTATACCAGGAAGATGTAAAAAAACTTGCGTGCCCTTCAACCCTTCGCTTCCTTTCGTTTATAAAGTAAAAT